GGGACTCCAGGATCATGACCTGAGCCGAAGGCAGTCGCTTAACCGACTGAGCCACCCAGGCGCCCCATCGGGGGCAGTTGTCTTAATCACATTACCCCCGCGTACACGTCGCGGCAGATCTATAAACTCATGTGACAGATTTCACTGATTTTCAAATAATATGCTTCGAGTCAACACTTGTTCATGAGGCAGGCCGAGAGGCTTTCAGCGGGGCCGACAGTACCTTAAATGCCACCTGGATGATGTCCTCTGTGTTGGCAGGGTTGCACAAGACGGCCAGGCCGATCACATACTCGCGGAAGTCGATACTACCATCATGGTTCTGCGACAGGAGGGGAGAGATCAATGAGCAGGCCCACTAGTTGAATTACTATTAATCACAGCCCCAAAGGTGAAATCCAGGCAGGTCACACAGCTCGGTGTCATCACACATTGAGCCTGTTTGGAAAAAACTTTGCACTGAGAGGGAACAGCAAGCAAGGGGTCCACCCATTCCCAATTCAGAAGGAAGAAAAATATGTTTCCGTTTAATAATGAATATAAACATTGAATCACTGAGGCCATTTAGTGGCTCCGTGGCACCCAGCATGGGTTCTTGAGCTCAGCCCCGGGGGAAGCCTCTCTACGAGGCAGGATCTAGAATCTTGGTGGTGGCCCCGCCATGATGGACAACACCAACAGGTCACTAAAGGGGGACCAGGGTCACTAAGCAACCCCCTACATGCAGACAGTGGAAGGGAGGGGAAAGGGCAAACTGAGGCAGTGGCACAGATAGATTCTTCCTTCTTTGCAGGTTTTCTCTGTAACACACCAGGAGCCAGGGAGTGAACCTGAGCTGTGTCAGGTTAGATGACGGGAGGCCCCAGGAGATCCTGAACTCCTAAGCGTCTAACTAGTATGATATGAGTATCTATATACCTCAGGAGGTATTTCATGATGGCAGCAGAAAAGAAGGCATTGATAATTCTAAGCCAGGCTGACTGAATGTAGGGTTTCCTACACATGAACTACTCACCTAGACAGAAGCCGGAGGGATGAAGTGGGGAGAAGGAAAGAGAACTGCAAACAAGCCCTATGATGATAACATCCCAGGTGTTAGAAGCATTTTGGCAGCCAAATCTTCAAGTGATGAAATCCCAGGTAAAGTGTGAACTAGGAACAACAAAGCTAGCGCAGTACTTGACAGATGAACAAATGATGTTTGGTGTCAAGAAGAGTGTAATCTTTAACTGTGACTGAGGGTCTATATCTCTTGAGCCGCAAGAGTCAGATGCTTAACCCACTGAGCCACCCAGGCGCCCCTCTGCCTTTTCTTGAAGCACTTTTTTGGAAAAAAAGCTGATCTTTTTAAAAAAAAAAGTATCATTCACATCCAATGAAAAGCACCCATTTTAAGTGTACAGTTAATGTCTTTTGACAAATGTATCTGCCAGGGTAACCACCACCACAATCAATAGCTACAACATTTTCATCACCCCGGAAATTTCAGAGATGGTGGAGTTCTTTTTTTTTTTTTTT